ATTGCTGTAATCCGAGCACTTCGGGGGGCTGAGGTGGGCAGTTCACAAGGTCAGGAGTTCGAGACCAGCCTGGATAACATGGTGAAACCCTGTCTCTACTAATAGTACAGAAAAAATTATCTGGGCATGGTGGCACGCACCTGTAATCCCAGCTACTTGGGAGGCTGAGGCAGGAGAATTGCTCGAACCCTGGAGGCAGAGGTTGCAGTGAGCTGAGATTGAACCACTGCACTCTAGCCTGGACCACAGAGTGAGACTCCGTCTGGGTGGCAGCAGGGGGTTGGTGGGGAGGGAGAAAGTCATGGCAAAAACTGCAATTGCTTTTTTTTTTTCTTTTTTTTCTTTTCTTTCTTTTCTTTTTTTTTTGGGGTGGGGCATGAGCCTCACTCTATGGCCTAGGCTGGAGCACATGGCATGATCTTGGCTCAGTGCTGCCTCTGCCTCCAGGGTTCAAGAGATTCTCCTGCCTCAGCCTCCCAATGAGATTACAGGCACTCACCAATACACTTGGCTAATTTTTGTATCTTTAGTAGAGATGGGGTTTCACCATGTTGGCCAGGCTGGTCTCGAATTCCTGATCCACCCACCTCAGCTTCCCCAAGTGCTGGGATTACAGGCAAGAATGAGCCACGGCACCCAACTTTTTTTTTTTTTTTTTTTTTTCTGAGACGGAGTCTCGTTTTGTCACCCAGGCTGGAGTGCAATGGCTCAATCCCATTGCAGCCTCTGCCTCCTGGGTTCAAGCGATTCTCCCACCTCAGCCTCCTGGGTAGCTGGGATTACAGGCGCCCGCCGTAACGTCTGGCTAATTTTTGCATTTTTAGTAGAGAAGGGGTTTCACTATGTTGGCCAGGCTGGTCTCAAACTCCTAACCTCAAGTGATTTGCCCACCTCAGCCTCCCAAAGTGCTGGGATTATAGGCGTGAGCCACCATGACCGACCTACTTAACTCTTTTATCTCCTTGCACAGTTTTTCTCTGTGGCCCAGTCACAACTTAACATCTTAGTAGACATATACCTGAGTTTTTTTGTTTGTTTTTTCTTTGAGACAGAGTCTCACTCTGTCACCCAGGTTGGAGTGCAATAGAGCAATCTCAGCTCACTGCAACCTCCGCCTCCTGGGTTCAAGCAATTCTCCTGCCTCAGCCTCCTGAGTAGCTGAGACTAAAGGTACATACCACCATGCCTGGCTAATTTTTTGTATTTTAGTAGAGACAAGTTTCACTGTGTTGCCCAGGCTGGTCTTGAACTCCTGAGCTCAGGCAACTCACCCACCTTGGCCTTCCAAAGTGCTAGGATTACAGGGGTTAGCCACCCTGACCGGCCTCTGAGTACTTTTTTTTTTTTGAGATGGAGTCTCGCTCTTTCGCCTAGGCTGGAATGTGGTGGCCCATTCTCAGCTCTGCCTCCTCTGCCTCCCCAGTTCAAGTGATTCTCACTGCAACCTCTGCCTTCCGGGCCTGGGTTCAAGTGATTCTCCTGCCTCAGCCTCCTGAGTAACTGGGACTACAGGTGTGCACCACCACGCCCAGCTAATTTTTTTCTATTTTTAGTAGAGACTGCCTTGTTGCCCAGGCTGGTCTCGAACTCCTGAGCTGACGCAATCTGCCCACCTTGGCCTCCCAAAGTGCTAGGATTACAGGCATGAGCCACCGTGCCTGGCTCCTCAGTATTCTTTTTTTTTTTTTACTGTCTCCAAGAACATCAGCCCCAGTAGAGCCACTGAGTGTCCTCGTTGGGGCTGAGCACACACAGATGCTCAGTAAATGATGAATAAGTGGGTAAGGACAGCCAAGAGCTTGCAGACCTGTGTTGAAGGTGTGTCCCTGCAGAGAGCTTCTCTCCGCTTGGCATTGGAGAGGCCTGTCACCGGCAAGGAGGTAGCTGTGATGACCTCAGACCTGAGAACTCCTGTGACGGTAGGGGAGATTGCTGTGAATAATGTAACCAAGAGCCAGACAGAGAATGGAAATTCTGGTAGGTTCTAAGAGGGAGGCCAACAAGGGGCTGAACTAGAGGCTGACATAGGGTGAGAGGGGGAATGTCTATTTTATTTTTTTTTAAGACAGGGTCTCACTCTGTTGCTCAGGCTGGAGTGCAGTGGCATGATCATGGCTCACTGCAGCCTCAACTTCCCTGGCTCAAGTGATCCTCCCACCTCAGCCTCCCAAGTAGCTGGGACTATAGGTGCTCGCCACCACACCTGGCTAATTTTTGTATTTTTGGTAGAGACAGGTTCTCACCATGTTGCCCAGGCTGGTCTTGAACTCCTGGGTTCAAGTGATCCCCTGCCTTGGTCTCTCAAACTGCTTGAATTATAGGTGTGAGTCACCACACCCAGCCTATTTTATTTTGAGATGGAGTCTCGCTCTGTCGCCAGGCTGGAGTACAGTGGCGTGATCTCAGCTCACTGCAACTTCCACCTCCTGGGTTCAAGTGATTCTCCTGCCTGAGCCTCCCGAGCAGCTGGGACTACAGGCACGCACCACCATGCCCAGCTCTTTTTTTTTTTTTTTGTATTTTTAGTAGAGACAGAGTTTCACCATGTTGGTCAGGATGGTCTCGATCTCTTGACCTCATGATCTACCTGCCTTGACTTCCCAAAGTGCTGGCATTACAGACATGAGCTCCTGTGCCTGGTCCCTAGTTTATTATTATTTTAGAGTCTGTGTTGCCGAGGCTGGAGTTCAGTGGCTAGATCTCGGCTCACTGCAACCTCCTCCTTCTAGGTTCAAGCGATTCTCCTCCTCAGCCTCCCAAGTAGTTGGGACTACAGGCACTCGCCACCATACCCGGCTAAATTTTGTATTTTTAGTAGAGATGGGTTTCACCATGTTAGCCAGGCTGGTCTTGAACTCCTGACCCCAGGGGATCGGCCTGCCTGAGCCTCCCAAAGTACTGGGACTATAGGCATCAGCCACCGAACCTAGCCTCGAACTCCTGAGTTTAAGTGATCCTCACACCTCAGCCTCCCAGAGTACTGGGATTACAGGTATGAGCCACCATACCTGGCCTGAGCAGGGGTAAGTGTCTATTTTAGGCTGAGTGGTCAAGGAAGGCTTCTCTGAAGAGGTGATGTTGGGGCCAGGCCTCCCCAAGTGATTGGAAAGTGTCAGCCATGGGGAGATGTGGAGAGAGGGTATTCCAGGCCAAGGAAGGGTAAGATCAAGTAATTCAGGGATTTAAAGGCAGAGGAATCTGGACTCCAGGCCTCCCATTCAGGGCTTCCCAGGAGAGACACGGAGGATCTCATAAAGGTGTGTGACTCTGTGGCTCACTCATGCCCACAGCGGGGACCATGACTACACACCCTTTTTTTTCTTTTTGAGACTGTGTCTCCCTCTGTTACCCAGGCTGGAGTGCAGTGGTATGATCACATTTCACTGCATGCAGTCTTGACCTCCAGGGCTCAAGAGACCCTCCCACCTCAGCATCCTGAGTAGCTGACACTTGGTAGTGCCGGGGTCTCACTATGTTACCCAGGCTGGTCTCGAACTCCTAGGCTCAAGCGATCCTCCTGCCTCAGCCTTCTGAAATGTTGGGATTACAGGCATGAGCCACCGCGCCTGGCCCGCCACCCAGTCTTGACTCTCTCTCCTCCCTCCCTCCAAGTGCTGCTGGCCTGTGTGTCCTGCCTGCTCAGGGCTGCCTCTGACTTGTGGCTTTTGACTTCAGGCCTAGGAGACACCCTTTGGATGGGTTAGGGAGCTCGTAAAGCAGGTGGGGGACACAGCAGGGACTGAATAAGGAGAGTGACATACTGCAGGCAGGGGTTGGGTGAGAGATGAAGGGTCCACTCATGTACACTGCCAGTGTGTGGCATCTATGTATGTGTGTGTTTTTGTTTGTTTTGAGATGGAGTCTCGCTCTGTCACCCAGGCTAGAGTACAGTGGTACAACCTTGGCTCCCTGCAATCCCCACCTCCTGGGATCAAGCAATTCCCTGATTCAGCCTCCTGAGTAGCTGGGATTACAGGTGCCTGCCACCATGCCCTGCTGATTTTTATATTTTTAGTAGAGAGGGGGTTTCACCGTCTTGGCCAGGCTGGTCTTGAACTCCTGACCTCATGATCCACTCGCCTCAGCCTCCCAAAGTGCTGGGATTACAGGTTATGTGTTTCACGTGTGTCTTGTGGGTGTGTCCTGTGTGGACCGTCTGTATCTGTGTATGACTCAGCCATGTGTCAGCACATCCCTGTCGATGTGTGTCTGCTGATGTGTTTGTCAGCATGCATGGCTCTGTCTGCAAATGTCTGTCTTGCATGTGTTTTTTTTTTTTTTTTTTTTTGAGACAGAGTCTTATTCTGTCACCTAAGCTGGTGTGCAGTGGCATGATCTTGGCTCACTGCAACCTCTGCCTCCCAGGTTCAAGCAATTATTCTGCCTCAGCCTCCCAAGTAGCTGGGATTACAGGCCCATGCCACCACACCTGGCTAATTTTTGTATCTTTAGTAGAGACAGGGTTTCACCATGTTGGCCAGGCTGGGCTCAAACTCCTGACCTCAAGTGATCTGCCCACCTCGGCCTCCCAAAGTGTTGGGATTACAGGTGTGAGTCACTGCACCTGACTTGTGTGTGTCTTTGTGTGTCTGTTGTATGTCTCTGGGGGTATCAGCTGTTTCCCTGCATGGGAGGTTGTGGTGAATGTGGCTAATTCCCTGTGGGAGGGGGCTGCTGCCTGTATATAAGACTGCGTCTTGGCAGTGCATGGTGTCTCAAACCTGTAATCCCAGCACTTTGGGAGGCTGAGGAGGGCAGATCACAAGGTCAGGAGTTGAAGACCAGCCTGGCCAATATGGTGAAAACCCATCTCTACTAAAAAGATACAAAAATTACCCAGGCATGGTGGGACGTGCCTGTAGTCCCAGCTAGAACAAAAAAGACTGTGTGTCTGTGCGTGTGTATGTGTGTGTGCCCCTCACAACCCAAACGAGCAAACACCTGTCCACCTTCCCAGCTGGCGGAGGGGCACAGGAGGTGGGATTCCGAATCACAGGCTCTTTCTGAGTATCTTTCTGTACTTTATTGTCCCTGCTGTAACAATGCTCATCATTCCTGAAAACGTCTCCTGAGGGGGCCTCGGCCAAGGCTGACTGGAGAAAAGGGGGCCAGTAACCCCTAGCAGGCTCTGCTGCCTGAGGCCTGGGTCTTCCCCCGGGGTCCCTGAATCTGGAGATGGCAGAGAGGAGGCAGGCCAGCTCCTTCCCCGGTCCTCCTAGGATTGCTGCTTCTGCCCATTCTCCCACTGGTGAAACTGAGGCAGAAAAAGCGGCTCAGCAGGGGGAAGGCAAGTTTAACCTTCCTGAATGGGGTCCAGGGACACTCCACATCTGCCACATAGCTTCTTGGGCTGGACATTTTTCCTGGGCACCAGCCAGCAGCTGGAGCAACGAGTGCCGTATTTCTTGTACCTAGGGTTGGGGGACAAGAAACTACCATTTAAGATGCAGTGGGGGCCCAGAAACCACGGCAGGAAACCACCTTTCCCAGGAGGTAGATTTTGTTTTGTTTTGTCTTGTTTTTGTTTGTCTTTTTTGAGATGGAGTCTCGCCCTGTTGCCTAGGCTGGAGTGCCGTGGCATGGTCTCAGCTCACTGCAACCTCTGCCTCCCAGGTTCATGCGATTCTCCTGCCTCCACCTCCCAAGTAGCTGGGACTATAGGCACCTGCCACCACACCTGGCTAATTTTTTGTATTTTTAGTAGAGACAGGGTTTCACCATGTTGGCCAGGCTGCTCGAACTCCTGACCTTGTGATCCACCTGCCTCGGCCTCCCACAGCGCTGGGATCACAGGCGTGAAAACCTCACCTGGCCAGAGGTAGGTGTTTTGCTTTTTGCTTTCCCCAAACCCCACGCTAGTGACACACGGACTGATTTGGGGACCTCCACCTCTCCCTCCACCATTCTAAGGACCTGATCCCACAGGCATTGCAGAGAGGGGTCCCATCTTCAGCGTCTCTCCAGAGCGGGGTCCTCTGGGTCCGACAGGAAGCACAGCGCCGGAGCCCTGAAGGGTGAGAGGTCAAAGGGCAGCGGTCAGAGGTGACACATGTGAGCTCAGGAGGCCTTTGCGGGGAGAGGCATTTTGTGGGGGTCTCTGTCAAGGCCCCACCTGGCTCTGAGCCAGCCCTGGGAGTTGCCAGCTCTAAGCTACAGCAAAAGCCAGGAAGGGAGACAGATGGCAGTACTCCGCAGAGGAGGAAGCTGGGGGTGGGGGTGACTCAGCCCAAGTGGAGGGGGCGCTGCGACTCCTCCCGGAGGCCTCTAAATGAGGAAGCAAGATGGAGAAGGAGGGGCAGGGAGAAAAGCAGGGAAGGCAGGAAATTGGCCCCCCAAAATATTTATAGCTCTTAGGCTTTCAGGACTCACCCAGGGCCTCCGTGTCTCCTGGGTGGGCTGCGGGGCCCTCAACAGCTTCTGCAGGGGGTTCCTGAGAGCGGCTACTGCAGGGAAGGCTGTGGGGCAAACAAGGTGTCAGCAGCGGGGGGTGGGGGGGTCCACAACTTGTCCCTGATAGCCCCTCAAAATGAAGACTTAGTATCAAGGTATCAGGCATCCCCCAAGGAAGCAACTGATATCTGAACAGCCTGGTTTTGCCTCTCATTAGTGATATTATTATTAGTATTATTGGAGATGGAGGCTCGCTCTGTCGCCAGGCTGGAGTGCAGTGGTGCCATCTCAGCTCACTGCCACCTCCGCCTCCCAGGTTCAAGCAATTCTTGTGCCTTAGCCTCCCAAGTAGCTGGGACTACAGGTGTGCAACACCACACCTGGCTAATTGTTGTATTTTTAGTAGAGATGGGGTTTTGCCATGTTGGCCAGGCTGGTCTCAAACTCCTGACCTCAAGTGATCCGCCCGCCTCAGCCTCCCAAAGTGCTGGAATTACAGGCATGAACCACTGCGCCCAACCTAATTATTATTATTATTTGAAAAATAGTAGGCACAGGACAGCCTGCCAGGTTCCAATTCCAGTTCTCCATGGCCTTGCTGTGTGAGTCTGGACACATTACCTCCCTCCCACTCCAAAGAATGCCTCAGTTTCCTTGGCTTCCCAAAATTGTTTTTTTTCTTTTTTTTTTTTTTTTTTTGAGACGGAGTTTCGCTCTTGTTACCCAGGCTGGAATGCAATGGCGCGATCTCGGCTCACCGCAACCTCCGTCTCCTGGGTTCAGGCAATTCTCCTGCCTCAGCCTCCTGAGTAGCTGGGATTACAGGCACGTGCCACCATGCCCAGCTAATTTTTTGTATTTTTAGTAGAGACGGGGTTTCACCATGTTGACCAGGATGGTCTCGATCTCTTGACCTTGTGATCCACCCGCCTCGGCCTCCCAAAGTGCTGGGATTACAGGCTTGAGCCACCGCGCCCGGCGGTTTTTTTTTCTTTGAAAAATTTATTGATTGATTTTTAAAAAGAGATGGGAGCCTGGGCAACACAGGAGACCCCAATCTCTACAAACATAAAAAATTAGCCAGGAGTGGCCGTGCAGGGCTCTGCTCTCTGCTCCCAGCTACTTGGGAGGCTGAAGTAGGAGGACGGTTTGGGCCAGGGAGGCCAAGGCTGCAGTGAGCCATGATTGTGCCACCGCACTCTAGCCAGAGTGACAGACTGAGACCCTGTCTCAAAAAAAAAAAAAAAAAAGAAAAAGAAAAAGAAAAGGCCAGGCAGGCATGGTGGCTCACGCCTGTAATCCCAGCACTTTGGGAGGCTGAGCCAAGTGGATGTCAAGAGTTCAAGACCAGCCTGGCCAACATGGTGAAACCCTGTCTCTACTAAAAGTACAAAAATTAGCCAGGCTGGTAGCAGGTGCCTGTAATCCCAGCTACTAAGGAGGCTGAGGCAGGAGAATCGCTGGAACCCAGGAGGCAGAAGTTGCAGTGCACCGAGACTGTGCCACTGCACTCCAGCCTGGGTGACAGAGTACAGCTCCATCTCAAAAATTAAAATATTTGAACTTGTTTTGGCAGCATGATTTAAAAAGTCATAATTTTATATATATATATATATATATATATATATATATATATATATTTTAGTGCATAAAAATTTTCTGGGGGTTGTAAATAATGATAATTTTTATAATGATAATCAGTAAATAAAAATTAGAGGCAGCGTCTCGCTATGTTGCCCAGGCTGGGCTCCTACAATCTTCCCACGTTAGCCTCCCACAGTGCTGGGATTACAGGCGTGAGCCACTACGCCCAGCTCCCCAAGGCTTTTTGTTGTTGTTGTTGTTGAGATGGAGTCTTGCTCTGTCGCCCAGGCTGGAGTGCAGTGGTGCTATCTCAGCTCACTGCAGCCTCCACCTCCCAGGTTCAAGCGATTCTCTTGTCTCAGCCTCCCAAGTAGTGGGATTACAGGCACCTGCGACCATGCCAAGCTAATTTTTGTATTTTTAGCAGAGAGGGGATTTCACCATGTTGGCCAGGCTGGTCTCAAACTCCTGACCCCAGGTGATCCACCCACCTTGGCCTCCCAAAATGCTGGGATTACAGGCGAGCCACTGTGCTCAGCCTCCCAAGGCTTTTGAATCAGCCCATACACATCAAATACTGCCTGTTAACCTCTTTTTGTTTTCGTTTTTGTTTTTGAAACGTAGTCTTGCTCTGTCACCCAGGCTAAAGTGCCGTGGCGCAATCTTGGCTCACTGCAGCCTCCGCCTTCCAGGTTCAAGCAATTTTCCTGCCTAAGCCTCCCAAGTAGCTGGATTACAGGTGCCCACCACCATGCTCGGCTAATTTTTGTATTTTTAGTAGAGATGGGTTTCACCATGTTGGCCAGGCTGGTCTCGAATTCCTGACCTCATGATCCAGCAGCCTCAGTCTCCCAAAATGCTGGGATTACAGGCATGAGCCAATGCGCCCCGCCTACCTCTTATTGTCATTACCAACAAACTGTAGCTGTTAGCATTATTGGGAAAAATCAGCGCAGCCGCAGCTGCAGCCTAAGCAGGGCCAGGCCTGCCTGATTCATAGAGACACCGGGTCTCACACTGGGGAAGCGGGGAGTGGGGACAGATGGCTGAGTCAGGAGCGGCAGGCCTGGATCTGGCACTAGCTCAAGGTGTCAACCAGAGACTGGGCCACGTGTAACGCAGGGCACGTGTGAGGGTCCACACTGACGCCAGAAAGCACCCCTGCCTCCCACACTCGTGTTTGCGTTGTTACAGGGAGAAAGGGTGCCCTGGCCTCAGCCAGCCCCTACCTGTAGGAGGGGATGATCAGCAGGCTGGCGTCCGGCTTTATCTGAAACCTCAGAGTTACCCCCTCGAACCCGGGGTCCACTTTCTCGGTGCCCCGGCAGGGGTTCAGCTGCTTCCGGGGCCTTCTCTGGGGTGGGGCAGGGGGAGTACCCGAGGGCTGCAGGCGGTGGCCCTTCTGGCTGATCCGGGTCTGTGTGTCCTTGGAACCCCTGTCCAGCGGCAGGGAGCCCTGAGTCCCCAGAGCCATCAGCTCCCAGCAAGGTCCCAGGACCTGGGTGTCCAGAGCAGGGGACTGATCCAGCCCCTCCACTGTCTCTTGGAGGAAGCGCAGAGCGGTGACGGAGTTCTGGCATGCAGGCCAGAGGGACCTGGGGACAAGGGCAGTGGGGTCACTCTTGGGGGACTCCTGGGTTCAGCCGACTAGGGTCCGGCTCTTTGCTAGCTGTGTACTCCTGGGCAGGCTACACACCCCACCTGAGGCTCAATCATTTCTAACTTTGGGTGGAAGGTTTACAAGTTGCAAAGTAATTGCAACTCACCTCGCCTACTGTGGGCCGGCCAGGCACACTCTCAGCCCTCCACATCAATCAGCCCCTCACGGCACCCGTAGATCACCCAGGCAGGGGCCGCCCTGGGTGACCCAGGCAGGGTTTCAAGCCTCTGGCTGCACGATCCAGAAAAAGGTTACTTTTTTTCTTTGTGTTTCTTTTAGAGACTGAGCCTCTCACTCTGTAGCCCCGGCTGGAGTGCAGGGGCGTGAGCAGGACTCAGTGCAGCCTAGAATTCCTGGGCTCGAGCGATCCTTCCGCCTCAGCCTCCCGAGTAGCTGGGACTTACAGGCATGCGCCACCACGCCGGCAGCCTTGCGATGATAGGATTACGAGTTTTATCATTTTCATTCTTATTGCGTTGCCCTCCATAACCCCTGGATGACTCCTGGGGAATGCCTACATCAGCCCCAGAGACATGGAATTGCATGGCCTCTGATCCCGGAGATGACCCCAAGTATCTCTGTGGACCAGAACCTCTTTGTAAGTTTCAATAACTATTATAAAATTGCCACTTTTCTATCACCCCAGCAACAAGAGGTCATGACCCCCCGATCACTGGGCCAGGTGGTGAAGGGTCCGGGGAAGGGGTTTGGCCTTACGCACCTCCCACTGGTTCTCCGGCATCCTGGGGTCCTCGGCCTCTCCTGGGAGGAAGATCCTCCCAGCGGCTCCAGGTCCAGACAGGGCGACGCCAGCAGCTTTGCTGCCATTGAGGAGTTCGGTGCTGGTTTGGCCTCCATTGTGCCCCGACCCAGTCCCCTCCCTAATTTCACTTGGCCCCGCCCTTCTGAGCCCACCCGATGAAACCCACCTGGGAGGGGCGGGACCTGCGGGGTGTGGGCGCTCCTGACTGAGGATGTGATGACTTCCAGCTGAGAGCGACCAGCCTTGGCGGCGCCTTTCCTTTTTCTGGCTTCAGGTCATCTGCGCACCCCTGCGTGCCAAAAGCGGCCTGCACCCCACCAAATCCCTCCGCAACTGCGGGGGCGGGGCCTCCCACGCTGGCCCTCCCCCTCGGAAATGGGGGCTCCCAGGCCTCTGCCTCAGATCCCCAGTGGGATCTCAGATCCCAGAGAGAGGAGAGCCGGGGTCTCAGCACAGCAGATGCAGGTGTGTGTTTTTGTTTGTGTGAGACTGAGCCTCACTCTGTCACCCAGGCTGGAGTGCAATGGCCTGATCACTGCTCCACTGCAGCCTAAATCTCCTGGGCTTAAGTGATCCTCCCATCTCAATCTCCTTGAGTAGCTGGGAGCACAAGCACTTACCACCACTCCACGCCAATTTTTACTTTTTTATAGAGACAGGGTCTCGCCATGTTGTCCTGGATGGTCTTAAGCTCCTGGCCTCAAGTGATCCTCCCGCCTTGGCCTCCCAAAGTGCTGGGATTACAGGTGTGAGCCATGTGCAGACCCCAGATCTGTCCCCCAAGGACACTCAACATGCTGGGGCCTGTGATACTGATTTATTGCAGCTCCAATCTGAGTCCACTCCTACTCACACCCCAATTCTCAGGGGCTTGGGGAAGGCCACCCAACAAGGTGCCCTGTCCCCACCAGAGCCTGGACATGGGAACCTCTCCCAAGCAGGGGTGCTGTCCTTCTCAGGGGTTTGCACATCTCTCCCGGGCCTGTCCGAGCTCTGGGCGGGGCTGGCACGAGGCTATTCCCTCAGTCTGGGCCCTGGGGCCTTGGCAACGTGGAAAGGTCCAGGCACCCATGTCAGTGCGGCTTGGGGACATGGCCGTCCACGTAGAAGTTCCTGGTGATCTTGGGCAGGGTGAATTCCGCTCCTTCCAGCTCCCTCGTCAGCACGATCTGGCAGCCCAGCCGTGAGTTCTCCTGGAGGAGGGGGGCCATGTCTAGCATGTCGTCTTCCCTGGGGTGGTGACACGGGCAGTGTTAGCCGGGGGCATGCTGGTTGTGGGGTGGGGCGGGGTGGGGTGGGGGAGGCTGACTGAGCGCTGGAGGCGGTGGTGGGGAAGGCAGCTCCTCTTCTAGGAGCTGGAATCGGGGAGAACAGTGGGGGCTGTCCAGAAGTCCAAGCTGCAGCTCCCAGCCAGGCAGGGCTGCCCTACTCACCTCTCCTCAGGAGGAGGCAGGAGATCCAGGTGGTCTTCACTCACATACACATGGCAGGTGGAGCAAGCCAGGGACGCTTCACAGGCCCCTAGGGGTGGGAAGTGAAGGGGGAGCAGGTGAGTGGCACAGTCAGGAGGGGGGGCCCCGCTCTGTGAAGGGAAGGGCAGAGAGAAGCCCTCTCTTCCCCCATGTGCCTCAAGTCTCCCTCCCGGGCCTGCAGCCCCACAGCTAGCCATTCCCCAGCTTCATATAGGGTTTACAAAGGGACACCCGGGGTGCCCCGTTTCTCAGGGCCTCCCCAGGAGGCTGCGATGCAGAACCATTAAGGAGCGTGGACTTGGCTGCCAGGGAGCTGAGAGGGGAAGGCCAGGCAGGCTCCCAGCAGCCTGTGAGCCCTGGCTGTGACCCTATCACTGTGCTAGGCAAAGGTGTCCCCACCTCTTGGCTGCTCTTGGAGGATGGACCAGCTGACTCAGCAGTCAGTGTGGTAGGGGAAGGAGTAAGGGATTAGGACTTTTTTTGAGACAGGGTCTCACTCTATTGCCCAGGCTGGGGTGCCTTGGCTCCATCACAGCTTACAGCCTCAATCTCCTGGCTCAAGCAATCCTCCCACCCCAGCCTCCTGAGTAGCTGGGACTACAGGTGCCCACCACACCACCATGCCTGGCTAATTTTTTTTTTTATACAGACTTGCAGTCCATGTTTGTTTAGTTTTTTTGAGATTGAGTTGCGCTCTGCTTGCCGAGGCTGTAATGCAATGGTGCGATCTCGGCTCACTGCAACCTCCTCCTCCCAGGTTCCAACTACTCTCGTGCCTCAGCCTCCCAAGTAGCTGGGATTACAGGCATGTACCACCACAACCAGCTCATTTTGTGTTTTATTAGAGATAAGATTTCACCATGTTGGCCAGGCTGGTCGCAAACTCCTGACCTCAGGCGATCCACCCATCTCAGCCTCCCAAAGTGTTGAGATTACAGGTGTGAGCCGAGCCACCATGCCCAGCCCTTTTCTTTTTTTTTTTTTTTTTTAAAGATGAGGTTCACCATGTTGCCCAGGCTTGTCTCAAACTCCTAAGCTCATGCAATCTGCCTGCCTTGGCTTCCCAAAATGCTGGGACTACAGGTATATGCCACTGCACCTGGCCAGGAATTAGGGTTGAAAGAGATGGAACCTGAGGTTTTCTGCTGACCACCTGCCCTTGGTCACACCCCCCACATCCTCTGATCATAGAGACCCGTGCCTGGGGATCACGTCCCTCCTGGCCTAAAACCTTCCAAAAGGTTTTCACACCCAGAATCGAATCCAAACTCCTCCACTTGGTCCTTCATCTCCCTCATTCATTCCTTTTCTTTTTCACCTTTTAAAGTTTTTTTGTTCTGTTTTGTTGTTGTTGAGACTGTCTCACTGTCACCCAGGCTGGAGTGCAGTGGCGTGATCTCCACTCACTGCAACCTCTACCTCCCGGATTCAAGCGATTATCCTGCCTCAGCCTACCACGTAGCTGGGATTACAGACTCCCACCACCACGACCAGCTAATTTTTGTATTTTTTAGTACAGGCGGGATTTCACCATGTTGGCCAGGCTGGTCTCGAACTCCTGACCTCAGGTCATCTGCCTGCCTTGGCCTCCCCAAAGTGCTGGGATTACAGGCATGAGCCATTGCACCCGGCCTCGTTTTGCTTTTTCTGTTTTCCTGCTTTGCATGAACTGTACAATTCACTCCTTGATGCAATTGGAACCCCCCAAGCTCACCCCCACCACAGGGCCTTTGCACTGACTGTATCCCTGGCCTGGAGTACCTTCCTTTCTACTTTTTGTTTCCGTTTTTTTTTTTTTTTTTTTTTTTTTGGACATTTTTGAGAGGGAGTCATGGTCTGTCACCCAGGTTGGAGTGCAGTGGCGTGATGTCAGCTCACCGCAACCTTCACCTTCCGGGTTCAAGCAATTCTCCTGCCTCAGCCTCCTGAGTAGCTAGGATTACAGGCGCCCACCACCCTGCCTGGCTGATTGTTTTGTGTTTTTAGTGGAGACACGGTTTCACCACGTTGTCCAGGCTGCTCTTGAACTCCTGACTTTACACGATCTGCCTACCTCAGCTTTTCAAAGTGCTGGGCTTACAGGCTTTGATCCTGGCCTGTTTCAGTTCTTTTTTACTCTTTCTTTTTTCCTTGGCTGGACCCTTCTTGTCTTCAGGGACTCCACTCACCTGTCCCCCGATTCCCACATCTCCCGTGTCTTGTCCCTCTCCCTTTTACTTTCTGCATTTATCAGTCAGAAGTAACCGTCTTCCTCCCTGGCTTGACCTGCTCCCCATCAACCTGCCCTTCTCCGTCTGCACTCAGCCTGGCGTGTTACAGATGCGCAAGGAACATGTGTCAGGCTGGGTGCCTGTCATCCCAGCACTTTGGGAGGCCCGGACGGATGGATCGCTTGAGCCCAGGAACTTGAGATCAGCCTGGGCCATATACTGAAAGTCCATCTCTACGAAAAATACAAAATAATTAGCATCTTGCTAATGCTAGGCGTTGTGGTATGTGCCTGCAGTCCCAGCTATGTGGCAGAGCCCGGGAAGGTCGAGGCTGCAGTGAGCCATGTTTACACCACTGCACCCCAGCCCAGGCAGCACAGGGACCCTGTCTCAAAAAACAGCAACAAAAAGCAGCATTTATCAGCTGGGCATGGTGGCTCATGACTACAATTCCAGCACTTTGGGAGGCTGAGACGGGAAGATCACACTTGAGGTCAGGAGTTCGAGGGCAGGAGCTCAAGACCAGCCTGGGCAACACAGGGAGGTCCTGTCTCTACAGAAAAATTAGCTGGTCATGGTGGTGCATGCCTGTGGTCCCAGCTACTTGGGAGGCTGAGGCAGCAGGATTGCTTGAGCCTGGGAGTTCGAGGCTGTAAGTCGTGATTGTGCCGCTGCACTCCAGTCTGGGAAATAGAGGGAGACCTTAAATAAAAAAATCACGTACTCAGAAAAAATGAAGAAAAAGAAAAAACACTTGTCCTCAGTCCACAGGAAGATGTTAAACTAAGAATTTTCCTCCCCTTTCTAGACTTGTCAGACAATGAGGGCGGATCTGGACGGCAGCCTCCTGACCTGGCATCGCCTCCCTGTTTGCTTCAACTGTCACCGCTAGGACTCTGTGACTAATCTGCCCCTTCTCTATCGCTTGGAGAGAAACTGTCTGGACCTTGAAACTCCAGTCAGTCCCTGCATGTCTCGTCAGCCCCGTTACCCACCTCGTTAGCATCCTCATCACATGAGACTGAGATAATCTAATCTAGTAATTCCAACCACTCACTCACTTCACACTGACTTCATGCCAGCTACTAAAAACTACTAAACACTGTTCAATCTTCACAGCAACCCAGTGAGATCGGAATTAAATTATCCAATTGTATAGACGAGGAAACAGAGGCCCAAAGAAGCTAAGTCCCTTTCTCAGGGTTATGTATCTGGTAAGAGGCAAACTTTGAACACAAGCCACTTACCTTTTTTTTTTTTTTTTTTGAGACAGAGTCTCACTCTGTCAGCCAGGCCGGAGTTCAGTGGTGCAATCTCGGCTCACTGCAACCTCTGCTTTCCCAGCCCAAGTGATTGTCCTGCTTCAGCCTCCCGAGCTGCAATTACAGGCGTGCGCCACTATGCCCAGCTAAGTATTTTTAGTAGAGACAGATTTCACCATTTTGACCAGCCTGGTCTTGGCCTCAGGTGATCTGAGCATCCCCACCTCCCAAAGTGCTGGAATTATAGGCATGAGTAATTCATGCCTGGGCAGGCCATTTACCTCCAAAACTCACATTCTGGCCGGGTACCGTGGTTCATGCCTGTAATCCCAACACTTTGGGAGGCTGAGGCAGGCAGATTACCTGAGGTCAGGAGTTGGAGTTTGAGACCTGCCTAGCCAACATGGCAAAACCCTGTCTCTATTAAAACTACAAAAAAAAATTAGCCCGGTGTGGTGGCGGGCGCCTGTACTCCCAGCTACTCGGAAGGCTAAGGCAGGAGAATCACTTGAACCCAGGAGGTGGAGGTTGCAGTGAGCCAAGATTATGCCATTGCACTCCAGTCTGGGAGACAGAGCAAGACTCTGTCTCAAATCAATCAATCAATCAATCAATCAATCAATCAATCAATCTCACATTCCAATCTCTGTCCTAGACTGCAGGCCACTAGACCCCAGAACAGAACTTTAGGTAGGCCTTTCATAACCCCTCCCAACATATCTTCCCCTTTAATGATAAGATAAAGGTCCCTGATATATTCACCCTAAAAGCAAACCCTGTATATTTTCTTCCAGACAACCCTTCCCAAGTTGCTCATGACATAATTATATATTTACCTGTGGGATTTTTGTCCCTATTAGGGTTTCAATATATGGCCCAGGCTGATCTCAAGTTCCTGGGCTCAAGCGATCCATCCGTCCGGGCCTCCCAAAGTGCTGGGATGACAGGCACCCAGCCTGACACATGTTCCTTGCGCATCTGTAACACGCCAGGCTGAGTGCAGACGGAGAAGGGCAGGTTGATGGGGAGCAGGTCAAGCCAGAGAGGAAGACGGTTACTTCTGACTCATAAATGCAGAAAGTAAAAGGGAGAGGGACAAGACACGGGAGATGTGGGAATCGGGGGACAGGTGAGTGGAGTCCCTGAAGACAAGAAGGGTCCAGCCAAGGAAAAAAGAAAGAGTAAAAAAGAACTGAAACAGGCCAGGATCAAAGCCTGTAAGCCCAGCACTTTGAAAAGCTGAGGTAGGCAGATCGTGTAAAGTCAGGAGTTCAAGAGCAGCCTGGACAACGTGGTGAAGCCGTGTCTCTACTAAAAACACAAAACAATCAGCCAGGCAGGGTGGTGGGCGCCTGTAATCCTAGCTACTCAGGAGGCTGAGGCAGGAGAATTGCTTGAACCCGGAAGGTGAAGGTTGCGGTGAGCTGACATCACGCCACTGCACTCCAACCTGGGTGACAGACCATGACTCCCTCTCAAAAATGTCCAAAAAAAAAAAAAAAAAAAAAAAAACGGAAACAAAAAGTAGAAAGGAAGGTACTCCAGGCCAGGGATACAGTCAGTGCAAAGGCCCTGTGGTGGGGGTGAGCTTGGGGGGTTCCAATTGCATCAAGGAGTGAATTGTACAGTTCATGCAAAGCAGGAAAACAGAAAAAGCAAAACGAGGCCGGGTGCAATGGCTCATGCCTGTAATCCCAGCACTTTGGGGAGGCCAAGGCAGGCAGATGACCTGAGGTCAGGAGTTCGAGACCAGCCTGGCCAACATGGTGAAATCCCGCCTGTACTAAAAAATACAAAAATTAGCTGGTCGTGGTGGTGGGAGTCTGTAATCCCAGCTACGTGGTAGGCTGAGGCAGGATAATCGCTTGAATCCGGGAGGTAGAGGTTGCAGTGAGTGGAGATCACGCCACTGCACTCCAGCCTGGGTGACAGTGAGACAGTCTCAACAACAACAACAAAACAGAACAAAAAAACTTTAAAAGGTGAAAAAGAAAAGGAATGAATGAGGGAGATGAAGGACCAAGTGGAGGAGTTTGGATTCGATTCTGGGTGTGAAAACCTTTTGGAAGGTTTTAGGCCAGGAGGGACGTGAACCCCAGGCACGGGTCTCTATGATCAGAGGATGTGGGGGGTGTGACCAAGGGCAGGTGGTCAGCAGAAAACCTCAGGTTCCATCTCTTTCAACCCTAATTCCTGGCCAGGTGCAGTGGCATATACCTGTAGTCCCAGCATTTTGGGAAGCCAAGGCAGGCAGATTGCATGAGATGACAGAGGCCTTATTTGTTTTGTATATTGCTGCCTGACGCCAAGTAGGTATTCATAGAAAGGCAGCACAGATTAGTGGCTAAAATGGGCAGGTAAATCTTGTATTGTCACTCACTTGACCTTAGATCAGGTCTACTTAACCTGGGGTTTGGTTTCCTCATCTATAATATGGAATAACAGTCTCTACTATACTGAATAAAGTTGTCATGAAGATTCAATCAGTGAATATGCATTAACATGCTTAAAGAAACACATATATATATTTTTTGAGACAGTCTCGCTCTGTCGTCTAGCCTGGAGTGCAGTGGTGCCATCTTGGCTCACTGCAATGTCCGCCTCTCAAGTTCAAGTGATTCTCAACTCTCAGTCTCCTGAGTAGCTGGGATTATATGCATGTGACACCGCGCCCAGCTAATTTTTGTGTTTTTCGTAGAGACAGGGTTTCGCCATGTTGGCCGGACTGGTCTCAAACTCCTGTCCTCAAGTGATTCACCTGCCTTGGCCTCCCAAAGTATTGGGATTACAGGCATGAGCCACTGTGCCTGGACAATAAATTTTTATTATGATTTTTCTCTCAACGAATGATCAAACACCTGTTACATCCTAACAGGCTACAGATAAGCATGAACAAGAACATGTGTCTCCGGTCTCACTAGGGGACAGATGACAAAGAAGGAAAGAAAACAGCCTGGAATTGTGGCTTGTGCCTGTAATCCCAACTACTTGGGAGGATTGCTTGAACCCAGGAGTTCAAGGCTGCAGTAAGCCTTGGTGACACAGCAAGGCTCTGACTCTCTCTTTTTTTGAAGACAGAGTCTCACTCTGTTGCCAGGCTGGAATGCAGCGGCGCAATCTTGGCTCACTGCAACCTTCACCCTCCAAGTTCAAATGATTCTCCTGCTTCCGCCTCCCGAAGGCTCTGTCTCTTAAAAAGAGAAAAAAAAAAAATTGGCTGCGTGAGGTGGCTCATACCTGTAATGCAACACGTTGGGCGGCTGAGGTGGGCAGGTCAAGAGATTGAGACCATCCTGCCCAATGTGGTGACACCTCGTCTCTCTTTTTTTTTGAGACGGAGTCTTGCTCTGTTGCCAGGCTGGAGTGCAATAGCTCAATCTCGGCTCACTGCAACCTCTGCCTCCTGGGTTCAAGCAATTCTTCTGCCTCAGCCTGCCGAGTAGCTGGGACTACAGGTGCGTGTCACCATGCCCAGCTAATTTTTGTATTTTTAGTAGAGATGGGGTTACATCACGTTGGCCAGGATGGTCTTGATCTTTTGACCTCGTGATCCGCCTGCCTTGGCCTCCCAAAGTGTTGGGATTACAGGCGTGAGCCACCGCGCCCAGCCAACTCCTCATCTCTACTGAAAATACAAAAATTAGCTGAGCGTGGTGGTGTGTGGTATAGTCCCAGCTACTTGGGAGGCTGAGACAGGAGAATTGCTTGAACCCAAGAGGCGTAGGTTGTAGTGAGCCGAGATGGCGCCACTGCACTCCAGCCTGGGTGACAGAGCAAGACTCCATCTCAAATAAATAAATAAGATGGGCAACGGATGAGGCCGCAGTGAGAGGTTTGGATTTTAGTCCGTATTTGGTCGGAAAAGCCATGAAGAGACACACCTGATTTGTGTTTTTTTTGGACAAATGGATAAAGACCTCCTTAATTCTCCGTGCCCGGTTCCTACCTTCCAGGTCCACGCCGTGGCGCTGGGCGAGGTGGAGAACATTGTCCCCGACTCTGCCGCTCACTGGGATTCGCTGGCCTGAGCGGTCTACGAACACCACGTTCACCCTGGGGACAGATGGAGGTGCAAATGCCGAACTGGATGATGGGCTCAGGACCCGGGTAGAATCTAGAATTAGGAAGTCGGGGTTGAGGCTTGACAGACAGGGACTGAACAGGGCGAAGCAGAAGGGGGACCTCGAGATAAAGTTACAGGGCAAGATGGGGACTGGAGGAGTTTCGTGGAATGAGGAATGAGGGACTTGGCCCCCCTGCACTCACACGTCCCCGGGCCGCTCGGGGCCACCCGCCTCTTCTCCCGCTGGGCGCGAGCCTGGAAAACACGGTTGGGTGAGCGGCTGCACCGAGCCCCGCCCCGCCGGCATCTGATAGGTTAATGCCGCCCGCTCTGGGCGCCCCAAGTACCTGTCGTCTGAAACTTTCTGGTTATTGCCGGCGCCACCGCATCCCCGGACCCCGAAGTGCCCCCAGGTCTATTCCACCAGGTGCCTCTGGCAGCCTGCAGAAACCTGGCTTTCACGCCGCCCCGGGCAATGGAGGCGGCCATGACATGCGTCACGTGACCCGGCGACTGAGCATGCGCCCTCGGGGACGCGCGAGCGAAGGGCTCCTAATTACCAGAATATAAGCGCAGATGTTTGCTTAATGTCTGTAGTCACCATAAGGGAAGAGCAGCACGTGATCCAATGCAGGTAGTCCTGCGGGACCATCCCAAACCTCCCACTCAAACCCACTGTTTGTTCCAAGAACCAGCCAGCTTTGATTTCTTTAAAACCATTTACTTACAAACTTTAATTCAGCAAAGGTCCATGTGGGGAGATTGGGGTTGGGGGGGAAAAATCCCCGTGGAGTGGATGTGGGTCCCCAGAGTCAGGGGAGGGAAGCTGGTGGCCCAGTTGGCCTGCGGCAGGGTCCAGGGTCACCTCAGGTCGACAGGTCCTGCTGGTGGACAGGCCCAGAGCTTATCTGCATGGAGTGCTGGTTTCTGGCACTGGGCTGAAAGGAGGCCAGTTCCAGGGCTCTGGCCTGGGGCAGGCAGGCAGATTTCAAGAATTCATCTTCAACAAGGGGGTGACAGCAGAGGCTCCGGGAGATGGGTACAATGCCCGACTCCCACAGACAAACGTCAGGGGGACTGGCAGAGAAAGCCCATCTCTGCACCAAGTCCCAGGCAGGAAGGGGTGATGGGGCTGGTTCACCAAGATGAAGGCTTTGGCCTTCTACTGTCCCCAGGGTGGAGATTCTGGGTAGAGTGGCCCGATACCTAGGCCAGGGCTGTTTGGTCCATAGTCAAGCTCCCAGAGCTCCACAACTGTGGCTCTGGCCAGCAGGGCCTGGGGCCCAGCTTTTAAGGCATCAGAAAGGGAGGGGATTTCGGCAGGGACCCCAGGGCTGGGGTACAGGCCAGATGGGCAGGCAGGGACAGGAGACAGCATGCCTGCAGCAGATGTGGGAAAAGGAGCTGTTTCGAACCGTAAAGTGTGGAATGGTGGCCTGGACAGGCCGGACCTTGAAAGAATCAGAGCTGGGGGTTGTCCTGGGTGGTCTGAAGAATAAAAATTAGAAAAGGAAACAGAAGTCAGCTGTCAAAGTTAAAAAAAGGAGACAGTCTCTGTATCCTCACAGGAGGTGAGGGAAACCTCCAAGGCACTCGAAAGGCCAAAATTACAGGAGCAATGGAGGCAGGAGGGCTCCGGAGAGACGGGCACAGCAGAGATGAGGGGAGGGGAGAGCAGGCCGGGGCCCCTCTCTCTTAAGGCTGCAGGGTTTCGGCGTGGGAGCAGGCCAGAGGCACAGTGAAGCCTCCAGACTCCCCCATACCCCTTGGGCTCCTGGGGCTCCGGCTGGTTGGTCAGTAAAGTCTTTCAGAGATTTTTCTATTACCGAAAGAGAGAAGATGGTTTAAAAAAACACAAAACAAAACACCAGAAAACCCAAAAGCGATTTGGTGCAGGCCTTTGAGTTATCTCTGGCACCAGCCACTTAGAAAATCCTCTTCCGCTTCAGGTAGGAGTCTGCGTAGTGGCCACCGAGGCCCTGGGAGTGCTGACCCACGTAGCTGCCTTCTGGGCTGGGCTCGGGGGAGGGCAGCAGGTGGGCAAAGCTGCGTTTCTGGCCACCCAGTGGGGTCTGGAGACAGAGGGCAGGGCAGGGCGGGTCAGGGGCCACTGGGTGGCTGGGGCTCCCCAGCCCTGCATGTCCCCACCCCCTGCCCGTACCTTCAGCAGGTGGCTGTGACCATTAGGCCCAGGGCCGAGGCCCAGGAGCCCTTCTCCGGAGCCCATCGGGGAAGAGCCGATTGCCTGGGAGAAATGGAGAGAGGAGGGACAGGTTACTCCCTGGGGGCCAGAGGAAGCAACCCTCTGCCCAAGGAAAAGCGAGGGGTTCGAGGGGTTTCAGGTTCAAATTTTGCTTCTGCTACTTTCTAGCTATGAGACCTGGGGCTGATTGCTCCATTTTATCTGAGCCTGTTTTCTCATCTGTCAAATGGGGCCAATAGCACCCACAGCCCGGGCTGTAGAGGGAGGAAGTACCAGAAAGCCTGGAAGGCTGGCAGTGCTGGGTGCTTGACGCACAGGGGTGGATGGAGGACGACAGGCTGTTTCTACTCTACCCTGAGCAAGACTGACCCCTGCCACCACCCCAGCTTTGGCCTGGGCACTGAGGGTCACAGAGCCCCGGTAGCAGGCGCCCCCGAATCCTGGCTGTCCCAGGGGGCCCTGCTCAGCCAGACAGGCTCCTCACCTTGCTGAGGTGGCTCTGTTTGAGGCCAGCCTGCAGGCCGCTGGTGAAGTAGGAAGTGGGCGAGCCTGAATAGAAGTGAGACAGGGGCCCCCCGCCACTCCCACCACTGCTCCGTTCGCTGAAGCCACTGGGCGGGGGGGACATCTGCAGAAGAAGGGTTGGTGGGGTGAAGCAGACAACTGTAGGACCCAGCTTTTTGCACAGGATCCTCCCCAAATGATTCTGGGCTCTGCAAAGACTAGCTTTGGCTAATAGGAGTGAAGAGAGCTGGCACGTGGGTGCCTGCCTTCTCTTCCTCCTCCAGGAACCTGGGGATCAACACTGCACGAATGGGCACAGAGACACCGTGCAGCCTATGGATGCCAAATATGTGAGGCCACGTAGCTCACTGAGGCCCAAGAGAGTGGAGGGGACCGCCCACTGCCCTGCAGAGTAGCAAGAAGTAATGCAATGCCTGGCATGGCTGGTGGCTCATGCCTGTGATCCTAGGAGGTCCAGACCAGCCTGGGCAACATAGGGAGACTTCATCTCCACAAAAAGTACAAAAATTAGTCATCACGGTGGTGAGTCTCTATGGCCCCAGCTACTCAGGAGGCTGAGGTGAGAGGATCGCTTGAGAGGAGTTTGAGGCTACAGTCAGCTATGATGGAGCCACTGCACTCCAGTCTGGGCAACACAGTGAGATCCTGTCTCAAAATAACCCACAAAGAACATACAAAATACAAGATCTGCTATTCTAGGCTACTAAGTCATGGCACAGCTGGCTTGTCATGCAGTAAAAGCTGATTGCTACATAAGCCATACCAGGATGGCCTTTACCTTGTGTCGACTGGGTCCATGAGGCCCAAGGGCTGGTTCCCGTGGGTGGGAGAAGAGCCGCCGAGGTCCCATGTCCTGAATGAAAGTGGGAGAAGCACATTGGGTTGGGGTATGTCCCAGCCTCACCCTGGCTGAACTCCATGCAGATCTGTCAGGGAGATACCACTCTGGGACTAGGAGGGGGCAAATTTGGGGCTGGATACAGCTCGGCTCCAGCCAGGGATGGCTGCTGTACAGGGGTGTACCCCCCATCGGCCTAGGTGTTTGGAGTTTTCCAGGCAAGCTGGGAATTCGAGCTGCGTGGATTCTTGTGGTTTTCTTGTGTTGGCATTAATTTTGGTTATTTGTTTGAAACTCCGCAGGAACCAAACATAACCCAGGTGACATGTGGGTGGCCAGTTTGCAATTTCTGACCTGTGAAGGAGGTTGGCATCACAGAAGGACCAAATCCCCAGGGGTACAGACAGGAATCAAAGGTGGGAGAGAGGGAAAGAAAGGGCAAGCCCTATATCTGGAGAGAGACAGTATGGTCTCTCAGGAGAGAAAGGTTGACAGAGACGCAGGATGACAGATAGACTGAGATGAAAGATCCTCCAGGTCTTGGGAATGGACAGACAGGCAGATGGACAGGAAGCAAGGGCTGATGTGCAGAAACAGGAAACTAAGAGCATAAGGCCAGGCATAGTGGCTCTTGCCTGTAATCCCAGCACTTTGGGAGGCTGAGGCGGGCAGCTCACTTGAGGTCAGTAGTTTGAGACCAGCCTGGACAACACAGTGAGATTACATCTCTACCAAAAATTTAAAAATTAGCTGGGCATGGTGGCACATGCCTGTGGTCCCAGCTCCTTGGGAGGTTGAGGTGCAAGGACTGCACCTCAGGAGGTTGAGACTGCAGAGGCTGCAGTGAGCTATGATCGCACCACTCCCCTCCAGCCCAAGCAACAGAGGGAGACCCTGTCTCTAAAAAGAAAAAAGACCATATCCGGCACGTTCCCTGCTGCCTCTCTAGCATGTGGCCTAGCCCAGTCATAGAGAAATATCAATTTGGAAAATGATTTGGCCTCAGGGGACAGAGAACCACAGCCAGGCACTCACCGAGGGGTAGTCAAAGCCGTAGCTGTCAGAGAGCCCTGGTTCGGGGGGCAGGCGGGTGCTGCTGAGGGGGCTGAGCAGGCGGGACTTGAACTGGAAGGCTTTGCTGCTGCTGCTGCCACCTCCAGGGGCTGGGGGGTTAGGTGGAGGGCCCTCAGCTGGGTGGCGGCTTCTCCCGGCGCCTCCCCAGCCCCGGACCTCCTTACCCGCCAGGTTGCTGGCCGGGAGCAGGCTGTGTAGGTTCAGGTAGGGATTCAGGGGAATCCGGTAGTCCTTGGGGGGCTCCCCCAGCAGTGAGACCTGCAGCGGGAGGGCTGGATTCGAGAAGGCCCCCAGGAGAGGGGACCCTGTGGAACAGGAGGCTTGTGTGGTGCCGCGCGCGGGGCAGGGCCTTACCCCAGGGGGCGTCGGCAGAGACCCACTGTCTTTCTGGAGGCCTCTGAGGCCAGAGCCTCGGAGCCCCACAGGGGCAGGGGGAGGAGTGAGCCGGGCTGCTGGGGGACCCAGGCCCAGGGACTCCCGGTCACCCCCAGCAGGGCCAAGCACGGATGGCAGCAGGGGTGGTGGCTTCCCTCGCCGGGGTGGCAGCTCCGGGGGCAGGCCCCCTCCTAGGGAGGGAAGGAGGATTTCAGGGGCCCAGGCACACAGGACCCCTCTCCCTAGGGCTCTCCAGCTCCCACCTGGACCAGGGCCCAGTGCTCAAGGGACAAATCCATGCTGGCCACTGAACAGAGCTCATGCCTGGGCCTGGGGTAGGGGACACCCAACTGATGGGGCCAGGGCACTGGGACCCACAGAGGTTGGGTCACTCGCCCAAGGCCACACAGCAGGGAAGGAAGGGGAAGGGCGTAGGGGACACTGTGGGCGGGGTCTGCATTACCTGCAGGCAGCTCCCCAAGGAGGGGGTTGGCCGGCTGGGCCCCAGGTTGGAGGGCGCCGAGGGGTGAGTCTCCCAGGATGCCGGGCTTCTAGGGACAGAATACAGACAGCTGCAGATGGGGGTGGGGTGGCCCAGGGAAGCAGACAGGTGTGGCCCAGAGTCTTGGCAGACACACCCGGACTCCAGGGCACAACCAGTCCTGGGCAGACAGGCATGGGGTTCC